AGGCCTGCAGCCCCCAGAGAAGGGCGTGCAGCGCGCTATGCGGGCCACGGGCTCCGATTCACGGGTTCATGTTTTTGCCCTCCCGGAGAGAGGGCAGGCGGAGGGATCTGGTAAGTGATAATGTGTGTGCTCCAGCCGAACGCGTGTTAGCATCTCTGAGCTACAAGGCTAACACGAGGTTTCCCAATCCAGGGGCTAGTCCCCCCCTCCATGAGGCAAGAGCCGAGGGGGGGCACAGCAGCCGTGTCACGTGTGGTGAGCAGAGCTACAAGGCTAACACGGGGTTTCCCACTCCAGGGGCTCGCCCCCCCCTCCATGAGGCAAGAGCCAGGGGGGGACACAGCAGCCGAGTCACGTGTGGTGAGCAGTCCCGTACTTATGACGTCGGGCCTGCAGAACACGTGACCGCCTTCGGCGCTCACGGTGTGACGCAGGGGCCCCCCCGGCCCTTTCAGCCACCCCCCCTCCCTGCTAGGAACACCAGGAGGGGGCGGGGCCGTGACGTCTCGTGTTCCAACTCCCGTTCCGCCCCTCACAGATTTCTACACCATCTGGAGGGAGCAGGGCCTACTGACAGATATTTGGCTGGAGAAAACTCTGCGCAGAGGTTACGCTCTGCAATTTTTCCGAAAGCCACCACCATTCCGAGGCGTACGGGCAGTACGCTCTCAGGTACGGGGATCGACAGAGGCACTAGAAGCGGAGGTCTCCTCTCTGCTGAGTCGAGGCGCAGCAGTGGAGGTAGACCCGCAGGACGCCACCAGGGGGCTGTACTCCCCTTACTTCTTAGTGCCAAAGAAATCAGGCGGGGTGCGTCCCATTCTGGATCTGCGCGTGTTAAACGAGTGCATTTCCAAGCGGCAGTTTCGGATGCTGTCCACAAGGCAGCTCCTCGAGTGTGTCAGGGAAGGAGACTGGATGACTTCCATAGACCTGACAGACGCATATTTCCACGTGCCCATAGTGCCAGAACACAGGAGGTTTCTGCGCTTCGCAGTGGGAGAGAGGAATTACGAGTACTGCCGTCTCCCCTTCGGGTACGCACTCGCGCCTCGCACCTTTTCCAAATGTGTGGAAGCAGCTCTGGAGCCGATCAGACGTGCGGGGGTAAGAATATTAACCTATATAGACGATTGGTTAATACTGGCCCCATCCAGGGAAGTGGCCGTGAGCCACACGCACTGGGTCCTGTCCCACATACAGCGTCTGGGCTTTGTGGTGAACAGGGAGAAGAGCAAGCTGCAGCCAGCCCAACGCTTGGTTTACCTCGGTCTGCAGCTAGACTCGGTGATATTCCGTGCTGCATTGTCCGTGGACAGACGGATGAGTATTACCCGTCTGGCCCGGGAGGTTCTGGCGGGCCCCAGAGTCCCCGCTCGGCGCCTCAGGTCCCTGCTGGGAATGATGGCAGCGGCTCATGCTGTGGTGCGGCTAGGCCTGCTCCACATGAGAAATTTTCAGAGGTGGTTCTCGCGCCTCAGGCTTCACCCCTCCCGGGACGGGGGGAGGCTGATCTGGGTTCCCCAAGGGGCGGCATCGGACATCAGGTTCTGGCTCACTCCGGGTCTATTGCGGGACGGAGTGACTCTGGCCTGCGCTGTGTCTCACGTCGAGGTGTTCACGGACGCGTCGCTCGAAGGATGGGGCGGGGTCCTCGGCCAGAGCTCTGTAGGAGGCTGTTGGTCGGACTCAGCCCGTCACATCAACCTGCTGGAGATGGAGGCAGTGCACAGAGTACTGCTGCACTTTGCCCCTCAGTTGCAGGGGAGACACGTGATGGTGCGCTCAGACAACACCACAGTGGTCTCCTATCTGAACAGGCAGGGGGGCACCAGGTCCCCCGCTCTCCATCGCATGGCGACGGTGACGCTGCTGTGGGCGGCGCTTCACCTCCTGTCTCTCAGGGCGCGCCACGTCCCGGGGGTCCGGAACGTGGGAGCCGACAGAATGTCCAGGGGGGGCCCACTCCAGGACGAGTGGGGCCTGGCCCCACGGGTAGCTGCGGAGATCTGGCGGAGGTTCGGCCGTCCAGTAGTCGACCTTTTCGCCAGTGCAGAGAACGCACAGTGCCCGTCCTGGTTCGCCTTAAGGGCCGCGGACGAGCCGCCTTTAGGCGTGGACGCTCTGGCTCATTACCCATGGCCAGGCGGCCTGTTGTACGCTTTCCCACCGGTGCGTCTCCTGCCGGTCCTGCTGCGGAGGATCGAACAGGAGAGGAGATCGGTGATTCTGGTGGCTCGGGCAGTCCGCATGCCCGGTGGTTCCCCTTCCTGAGGGGCATGGCGGTGATGGAGCCCTGGGCCCTCCCGGACGAGCCGGGGGCTCTAGTCCAGGGGGCAGGAGCCCTGTTTTCACGTCCGATAATCGGCCGCAGGCTCTGGGTTTGGAGGTTGAGAGGCGGAGCCTCGTAGATCTGGGTCTTCCCCCTGCGGTGGTGGAGACTATTCAGGGAGCGAGGGCGCCGTCCACCGTGAGGGCCTACGCCACGAGGTGGAGGCTATTCAGTGTCTGGTGCGATTCCCGTTCCTGGGATCCCAGGTGTTGCCCGCTGGAGGGGGTCCTGGGATTCCTACAGGAGCTTTTCGACAAGGGGAGGGCTGTCGCTACCTTGGCGGTGTTTGCGGCAGCCATTACTTCGGGTCACGACGGGTTCGGGGGGTTCACAGCCCGCTCTCACCCGTTGGTTAAACGTTTTCTGCGGGGGGCGCGCAGGAGGAGGCCCCCGCTCCAGAGAACGCCTCCGGTTTGGGACCTCAGGGTGGTCCTTAGGGGGCTGTCGGGTTCGCCATTTGAACCAGCGGCGGAGGCGAGTCCCGAGTGTATCGCTTTTAAGACGGCCCTCTTACTGGCGTTGGCGTCTGCTAAAAGGGCGGGCGATTTGTGTGCGCTCTCCGTCCATGCGTCGTGCCTGTCCTTTGGAGAGGACGACGGCATGGTGGAGTTGTGGCCCAATCCGGCTTTTCTCCCCAAGGTCATCACGTCGGCCTTTAGGTCGAGAGTGATCAGGATTAGGGCTTTCCACCCGCCGCCGCATGCCTCCCCCGAGGAGGAGCGGCAGCACCTTCTGTGTCCTTTCAGAATGCTGAGGCATTACCTGGCCATGACGTCGTCATTCAGGTCGGGTGATCAGCTGTTTGTGTGTCTGGGCCCCAAGAACAGGGGCGCCCCGCTGTCGGCTCAGCGGCTGGCGCATTGGGTCGCTACGGCGGTGCGACGGGCGTATCAGACGCAGGGCCTGGCCCCCCCGGTGGGTTTCAGGTCGCATTCCACGCGTGGGATGGCGGCCTCTACGGCCCTTTCAGGGGGGCGTCGGTCGAGGACGTTTGCCGTGCGGCTTCTTGGGCGTCGTCCTCCTCTTTCGTCCGGTCTTATCTTTCGGATGTGTCGGACCGGTCGGTGGCCCATTCCGTGCTGAGTGCAGCGGATTGAGTTAGACCGTTGGGTCCCTCCCCTTAGGGGGGGCCTTCGGTCTAATTTCCGCCCTGGTGCAGGAGCTCTTGGGAGAGGCATCCTACAGGTGCGGTACATTGTGTGTGTGGTCGGTCTGGTAGTCCTCGTCAGGAGCTCTTGGGAGAGGCGTCCTGTGACTACGTATGACCTACGGCTTGTGTTACGTGGGGGTATCCTTGGTAGGAGTGGCCCCGTAACACGCTTGTTCTTCTGCCCTGAGTCCTCACGTTGTGAGGGTCTTACTCGGGCGGAGCTCCAATCACCCTTCGCTGGCCTGCTGGGAGTACATTTTCCTACGGCCTCCGCGTTGTGTCCCACTAGCGAAGTCCTAAGGGACGTAGCACCATGACGTAGAATTAATAGTTACTTAATGTAACTTAAGTTCTACGAATAGGTGCGTAGTCCCTTAGCTACGAGCCCATCAGGCCAGCCCGGCTTGGCAGAGTTCAAGAGGGGGTGCGGCCTTGTGCAGGGGCATTTATAGAGGAAGGTGGCTGGTGATTGGAGCAAATTATTTGATCTCTCTGGCGCGTGACCTGGGGGTCACGAGTGATATCCCACTAGCGAAGTCCTAAGGGACTACGCACCTATTCGTAGACAACTGCGGAGTGAGCCTCTCCAATGGTGGTCCCTCGAGGTGAATGGACAGAGATTCAAGTTCATGGTCTACTCTGGTGCAACTGTGGTCATGCATCACACACAAATTTCCACTTGTCCTCTGAATCAAATGTCCATCACTTGGGCTGTGGTGGGGAAACCTGAAAGCAAACTACATTTACTGTTCCAATTGGAAGTAAAAATCACACATGAAACTGTGCATCACTCTTTTTGAATCTACCAAACTGTGCATCTCTCAGTGGTGCCGTAACTTGATGTGCAAGTTGTCCTTCTCCCTATTCTTCTGCCTGAAGGATACAAACTCATGAACAAGCTGAAACATTGCAACTAATCCGGTCTTGGAGAAAAACAAGCATGCACAGAATAATGTTAATCTCTCACCAATGTCGCAGAAGATCTGAAGACACCTATCGATATCTACTGGCTTTCAAGTACTGACATCAAGCATGGTAATTAACAACCTCAACTGATGACCGAGTCACCCGAGACCCCGGACGCACTCTCAGGGACCCTGGAGAGTTGGAAAACGGGGGAAAGTAATGTTTATTGTGATTAAAACCCCTCCCTTGATGAGATTTATAAATGGAAATATGTACTCAAGGATGTTTCTTTTTTGGTGTGTGCCCCCTAGTTTGCTGGATATCTGTTGAACCAACCTGTTGGACACCGCGGATTGCCATACGAGAACCAGCAGACTGGACAAACCAACTGTGACCACAGCTGCAAAGCGGGATCACCAACTCTGATCTGCCAAAGCAAATAACTTCACAAGGTATTAGACAGAGAGACAGGCAGGAGCATTGGACATTTTAGTCCTGGGGACAGAGCCCAACAGTTAAAACTGTTTGTCCAGGTTAGGGAAACAAATGCACGGTTTTTTAGATAGATACTTGCCAAATTCACGTCCTGACCCTGGGCCGGACGCGGACCCGATGATCGTGACGGTGCCCAACGCCCCGGACGTCCCGGAGACCAGCCGGATGTTGGAGGACGTGGACAGTGTGAGTCTCGGACACGTCTTCCTGAACATCGACGTGCTCCTCTGACCTCACGCTCACAGGAACCGTCCGGACGCCGCCGTTAACTCTGTCTCTCTGTTTCTCCTCTTTTCCGTCTGCTTCTGTCGCTTCTGTCGGCGCATGTTTGTCTTTTAATCAATAACTTTTCAAAAACACCTGGAATGATTTTGTTGCTTTTTTGTTTCGTTTATTTGGAATGCTTTTCTGGATGTTTTTCCGGCTGCTTTTTTCTTTTGGCTTCAGTTTCTTTGACCCATTCACATTTCATTCATACAGTAAGGGGCTGTTCCTGCTGCAAAGACGTGGACTTTCAATGGGAAGCGTTTTATTTCTAGGGTGACAAGGGCAGTGCTAGCAAACGAGCTAAATGTATGAGCTAGAATTAGGTTATAAAACACATAGGTCGGGACTAAGTCGGGGCTAAATCGGGGCTAAGTCGGGGCTAAATCGGGGCCAAGTCGGGGCCACTGTCTGACCATGTGATCATAATTCTGGACCATGTATAAAATAGGTCTTAAACCTGGCCTGGTCTGGTCTCCAAAGCTTAGCAGGTCTTTAGTTCGGAAGCTGTAAAGTGCAAGGGAAATGTCAGTGTTGTATTACCAGTTAAAGAACAGAAGAATGAGGTTAATATAAAGTATAGAACAACTCTATACTTCTCTATATTTTTTGGTTAATAAAAAAGCAAGACCCGGTCCAGAACCAGATGTTTTTTATTGCCATCGTAGGTCACAGGAGGTCACAGGAGGTCACAGGAGGTCACAGGAGGTCACAGGAGGTCACACAGGAAGTCACAAACTAGGAATCTCTTTGGCTCCAGGTGCAGAGAAGTCGTTAGAGTAAAAAGGTAAAGGCAGCATAAAGAGGCGTCGATAAACCAGATTATTAACGCCATAATCCAGCCTCAGGTCTACCCCAGACTTACCCCAGGTCCAGGTATCACAGGTACAGGACATCAGCTGCAGTCTTTGCCTCAGCATCAGCCCCTCCCCCTGCCCTCCTAACCTGACTGACCTGGGCTTGCTCTCCCCCCTCTCCCCCTCTCCCCCTCTCCCCCCTCTTCCCCCCTGGCTCTCCTGCAGGTCCTGGCCTCCCTGACGCCCTCCTCCGCCTCGCGCAGTAACGCCCCCCCTCCTGTGCCTCTCCCGCAGAGCTACGAACCCGACGAGCTGACGGAGGAGATGGCCCACCTGGAGGGCCTCATGAAAGACCTGAACGCAATCACCACCGCGCCCTAGGGACCCCGCCCCACCCCAACTCAGCACCCTAAGGACCCTACCCCGCCCTCGCCACAGCACCCAAAGGACCCCCGCCCTCGCCACAGCACCCTAGGGACACAACTGATTGTTCCGGCTGTTTTACACTTTCACCAGATTAGAAACACAAGATCTGCTACTAGCTTCTCAACCTGCCCTGGTCCTGTCTCCCCTGGTCCTGTCTCCCCTGGTCCTGTCTCCCCTGGTCCTGTCTCCCCTGGTCCTGCCTCCCCTGGTCCTGGGTCCCCTGGTCTCTCCCCTGATCCTGGGTTCCCTGGTCCCTACGCTGGTCCTGGGTTCCTTGGTCTCTACCCTTGTCCTAGCTCCACTGGTCCTGGTCTCTCCCCTGGTCCTGTCTCGCCTGGTCTCTCCCCTGATCTCTCCCCTGGTCTCTCCCCTGGTCTTTCCCCTGGTCTCTCCCCTGGTCTCTCCCCTGGTCTCTCACCTGGTCTCTCACCTGGTCTCTCCCCTGGTCTCTCCCCTGGTCTCTCCCTGGTCTCTCCCTGGTCTCTCCCCTGGTCTCTCCCCTGGTCTCTCCCCTGGTCTCTCCCCTGATGTCTCCCCTGATCTCTCCCCTGATCTCTCCCCTGGTCTCTCCCCTGGTCTCTCCCCTGGTCTCTCACCTGGTCTCTCCCCTGGTCTCTCACCTGGTCTCTCCCCTGGTCTCTCACCTGGTCTCTCCCCTGGTCTCTCACCTGGTCTCTCACCTGGTCTCTCACCTGGTCTCTCCCCTGGTCTCTCACCTGGTCTCTCCCCTGGTCTCTCCCCTGGTCTCTCCCCTGGTCTATACCATTCAATCCAAACGGGGGGAAAACAAAAAGATGCAACTGTGATTTCCGTGGACACAAAATGGCGTCTTGTGCCCGAGAAGCATTCACGTCCCCCAGCAACAAACTGCTTTCTTCTTCTACAAGTACCTTTTCTCAGGACGGACGCAGCCAATCAGAGGAAGGGCAGTCACGGCCAGACACCGGAGCACGCCGTCCATGTGGATGGAACTCTTTGGGACCAGATTGTGAACTTTGTTGTTTTTAGGACGGACACAGAATGACTCCTCTGCTCTGAGCGTGTTCATGGTTCTGTTCATGGTTCTGTTCATGGTTCTGTTCATGGTTCTGTTCACCTGTATGTATTCTGTATTCTTTTATTTTTTACACCTGTATCCGTATCTACATGTACATATGTTATTTTTATTCTGTCGTTTGATGGTTCAGAAGTTTACTCAAATTGTAACACAAAAATGCTGGTGCGAGGCCACGCGGAAAAGTCACTGATGTCATATGTTCATAACCCTTTAGCATTAGGCAAGGTTATTGGTATAGCACAGTCCACACACGGCAACTCACAAGACAAGGCTTTAAATCAGAAAGTCAGGATTAAATCTGTTTTTAACCTGGATTTGAATATTGCCCGTCTCACGTTTTCTGGAAGACTGTTTTTAGCTGCATAAATCTGAAACACTGCCTCCCCATGTTTAGTCCTGACTCTGGGACCAGCAGGAGACCAGTCCCTGTGCTCCTCAGAGTCCCAGCAGGAGGCCAGTCCCTGTGCTCCTCAGAGTCCCAGCAGGAGGCCAGTCCCTGTGCTCCTCAGAGTCCCAGCAGGAGGCCAGTCCCTGTGCTCCTCAGAGTCTCAGCAGGAGACCAGTCCCTGTGCTCCTCAGAGTCTTAGCAGGAGGCCAGTCCCTGTGCTCCTCAGAGTCCCAGCAGGAGGCCAGTCCCTGTGCTCCTCAGTCCCAGCAGGAGGCCAGTCCCTGTGCTCCTCAGAGTCTCAGCAGGAGGCCAGTCCCTGTGCTCCTCAGAGTCCCAGCAGGAGGCCAGTCCCTGTGCTCCTCAGAGTCCCAGCAGGAGGCCAGTCCCTGTGCTCCTCAGTCTTAGCAGGAGGCCAGTCCCTGTGCTCCTCAGAGTCCCAGCAGGAGGCCAGTCCCTGTGCTCCTCAGAGTCCCAGCAGGAGGCCAGTCCCTGTGCTCCTCAGAGTCCCAGCAGGAGGCCAGTCCCTGTGCTCCTCAGAGTCACAGCAGGAGGCCAGTCCCTGTGCTCCTCAGTCCAGCAGGAGGCCAGTCCCTGTGCTCCTCAGAGTCCAGCAAGAGGCCAGTCCCTGTGCTCCTCAGAGTCACAGCAGGAGGCCAGTCCCTGTGCTCCTCAGAGTCCCAGCAGGAGGCCAGTCCCTGTGCTCCTCAGAGTCACAGCAGGAGGCCAGTCCCTGTGCTCCTCAGAGTTCCACTTGGTTCTTATAGCACTAACATTTGGTGCGAGACTTAAAGCTGTGGTCTCTAATTTCAAAGCTCATGTAAAAATCTAATTCTTATTTCTGTCTGAGCCCAAAGGGTCAAATAGTGACTCACAGGGACTGTTGGATCACGTCAGCACAATGACCTGGGGAGATGACGTCGGATTTATCCACAATAAACACATTTCTCACACTTTTTCTATCGCGACAAACAACATTTCAGTCTCGAAACAAAACTTTAGGTTCAGCAGCTTTAAGTTTCTAATAAATAATGTTTAACTGTTTTTCATCACAACAATTCTATTCTATGTTTTTAGCCTCGTCAAAGGACTTTACCAAGTTGTCGATTCGTCGACACGGATCAGAAAATCAAACAGACACAGTGGTCTCTCTCTCTGGTTCTCTCTCTTGTCTCTCTCTCTGGTCTCTCTCTGGTCTCTCTCTCTGGTCTCTCTCTGGTCTCTCTTTGGTCTCTCTGGTCTCTTGGTCTTCTCTGGTCTCTCTCTCTGGTCTCTCTCTGGTCTCTGTCTCTCTGGTCTCTCTCTGGTCTCTCTCTCTGGTTCTCTCTCTCTGGTCTCTCTCTCTGGTCTCTCTCTCTCTCTGGTCTCTCTCTCTGGTCTCTCTCTCTGGTCTCTCTCTCTCTGGTCTCTCTCTCTGGTCCTCTCTCTCTGGCCTCTCTGGTCTCTCTCTGTCTCTCTCTGGTCTCTCTCTGGTCTCTCTCTGGTCTCTCTCTGGTCTCTCTCTGGTCTCTCTCTCTGGTCTCTCTCTCTGGTCTCTCTCTGGTCTCTCTCTGGTCTAAACAGTGAAAATAGTAATTCTCACCTAAACAACATCTTAAAGCTGCACTAACTGACTTTGGGATTTTGAAGCCGCAGACTCGCTGGCCTCTCTCTTTCTGCTCCCCTCCCCGCACCCACGAAGCTATCGCCCCCCACACACACCCACTGTTGTTGACGGAGCTAGCGTCTCCCAATATGGATAATACATGGATATGGATTTGCACGTGGATGGCGTGACCATAGAACGATAGAACCGGGAAGCGCGGAGGAACGAGACTTTCTTTTGGATGGCTGTCTCGCTGTGTAAGCAGTAACCGGTGACGAAGACGAGGAAGTTTCAGGTTAGCTCCTCGGCTTGTTGTGCTAACTCAGCCGTCTATGCTAACGGACCTGTAGATTTCTCACGAAAGTGTGGGCTAGTGGTCCGCTGTGATTGGTCACAATCTGCGACCCGAAACACATTCTCTTCCTTGTTTCATCAAAACTCAATCTAAAATACAATGTCACGCCAGCACAAATCTGCACTACTTTTTCTTCAAAAGGACGTATATCCCAATGCCCTACACGGACATGGATAGCATTTTAGTAATGAATACAAAAATAAAGTCAGTTAGTGCAGCTTTAACATCAAAAACATCAAATATCAGATTTAGTTTCAAATGAGTTCAGTTCGAATCTCATTTAATATTTCAGTTTTTATTTTGTATAAATTGTATGAAATAAACTTTTAGCACAGGTACAAAAGCACTGAGCCGTGTTATACTTTTACTTTCACTTTCAAAGGCTCATAATCTCACCTTTTCCCGCGTGGCCCGGTTCAAACCTCTGCATTGCTGTATATTTTTATATGCTGTTTTTTGACGACTGAATGGAAGGATCTCACCGTTTCCATGGTTACCACTTTGAATATACGTCATTTTAAAACAAAGTCTCCTCCTCCCTCTCTACGATGCAGATTAAAGGGAAATGTCTGGGAGTTTTTGATATATATTTTTACTCCATTTTCTGGCTGATAACCAGGAAAGCCTTGTTCTCATGTTGGGTTTGTGCGACAGGATCCTTGGGTTGTGTTCTTCTTCTAGGATTGTGTTTCTTTCTAAAGATCATTATTGACGGTTCTCTGTACGGCTGCGCTGTTACGAATGTGTCCACAAAGTCCGTATTCTCACTTGGCATAAAGTCATTTTTTAAATAATATTGGGTTGTTTTTGTGGTTTGTGCTGATTGACAAGGGGGCGGGGTCTAGCTATGATGTCACAGATCGGAGAGATTCGACCCGGAGCGTTCTGTGAGGGCCAGAGCAGAACATAGAGTGAAAAGTGATGAGAAAATAGTCTAAAAATGCTGAAATTAGGCAAAACATGTGTCTTAATTTGGGATTAGATCGATTTAAGAGTTTTAAGACTTTTTCAAGTGTATCTGTCTGCGGCCTGCAGTACGGAGGCGTGTCGAGTAGTGGGCGTGTCGGGTAGTGACGTCACTACTCGACACGCCCACTCCGCGTGTATGAGCATGGATCTATTATAATACGGGTATGAGTAGTAGTGAGTACTATCTATGCCCAATGAATATAAGCGCAATAATGAATTTTATTCGTCTGGTGGCGCTCGGGCCTACTAATGTAAAACAAACATTATATAAATCATGCTATACTTCCGGTAAGAGCGTGTAGACCAATCAGAAAGGAAGGGGGAGGGAGCTTGGGTTGTTTTTTTTCAAATCAAGTACCTCTCTGTCTCTCTTTCTGACAAACTCTAGACAATCACTTTAAAGAACAAATGTACAATATTGCACAACACCTGGATTCGAAGTTAAAACATACCTCCATGACAAACAGATGCCCTTTCATGGGTTTGCACGTGTGTGAGCATTTGTGCTTCTCCGCCATGTTTAAAACAGGTTACACACGTGAGCGTGTTCCCCTGCTTCAGCACTGGAGCATGATTCCCATCACTGACAATAGTCGGATGCAAC